CATGCATGCATCTAACAGGTTTTACAGTAAGGTAATTTGTTTATCTCACATAATATGCAGTCTCTGCAGTCCTCATTGAGTCTGCGATTTCGCCTCACTTTGTTGTGAGATGGTGAAGTCATATTCAGGCGTGACTACATCTAGTGAAGCGAAAAACGAGATGTGTCCTCCAGGGCATCTCTTTTTATTAGGGAGGAAGCCCCAGGAGCTCCCTACCAATAACCTCTCAGGCCAGCATTAGGACTATCCTAGCTGCAAAGGAAGTTAAGAGAATCAGGACCTGTCATTTTCAGCAAGGAAGGTGAAGTGGGATGTCTGGAGTAGGCAGCCAACAGCATCTGCCACCACTTTTTTTGTACCAGCCATTGTGATCTTGAAATTGATATTGTCCCAAGAGTACTGTTAAAGATATAAATTAAAGTAAGTACATACAAATAATTATATTGTCAGAGTCTGCAACATGTTGTTGTAAAGATTATAAACAAAAAATTCCCAGAAAATAGCTCTGGAAACAAACAAAAAGTGGAAAGAAATGAAACTGTGGGGTCAGATAAACTAAGGTTTGCAACCCAGTTTTGCTACTTACTAGCCAAGTATCCTTGTTCAATTTATAAAGCCTATGTAAGTTTCAACTTCCTCATTTGTTATATACATATACATACATACACACATACATAAAATAAAGGCATGCCATACCTCTCTTTAACATTTTTATAAGAAAGTGTGTGTGTGTGTGTGTGTGTGTGTGTGGTGTGTGTGTGTTCATTTATCTTCCTTTTCTTGCTTGGGGTGTCTGGAAACCTTTAACTGAGGATGATCTGTAGGTCACATCCATCCTATTGAAAATTCCCCTTTTATCCCTAGATTGGCAGGGTACTTCCATAGATGGAAACCTTCTGGATGCCCTAATACTGAACTCTACCAGGATTGGCCATGCATTTGCTTTGATCAAACACCCAGCAGTCTGGACTGAGTCATGGAAAAAAGACATTCCCATAGAAGTCTGTCCTATCTCCAATCAGGTAGGCATGATCCATGGAACCCATCCATATGATCTTCTCCTCTAACCTCAACCTCTGCTCTGATTCCCAAACTTCTTCTTGTATAATTTCTTTCTCCTTAACTCACTTGTTTTCTGTATTCCTCCACTCTCTTACTCCAATTAGTAGTTATTTAGGAATGTCCTTTTGCCTAAGTCATTCATAATAATGAGGCAGCAGTGAGGGTACCCAGTGGGGTGGCATTTTGGACAAAGCTGTGGACAAAGCTAAAGGGACATTGGGGTGGCCAGTGAAGTGGCAGGGGTGATAGATTCTGCTGCTCCCACCATTGCTCAGTGTTCTCTGAACCTGCCCATCTTGCTGTGTTCAGGAGGGCTGCTCTGAGTAGGACCAAGAGGACGACCAGATGCTTGTAGTGGTGATGAAATCTGGAGGAAGATTGTGAGGACTGGCTCTGCTCCTTGTGTTAAGACTTTACCCAGAAGTCATCTCAATGTTCAGAATGGGGATAGGGATAAGAAATAACCTGAATATGCTGCATGGTCTTACCTTCCTTTTGACAACTCTTTTCATGGATTAAAGTTTGTCTTTCTCTTTTGCCTCCTATTGGGCAGGTTCTGAAGCTGGTGTCTGACTTGAAAAACCACCCTGCAGCTGTTCTGATGGCTACTGGGTACCCTATGGTGATCAGCTCTGATGACCCAGCTGTCTTTGGTGCCAAAGGCTTGTCCTATGATTTCTATGAGGCCTTCATGGGCATTGGTGGGATGACGGCTGACCTGAGGACACTCAAACAGCTGGCCATAAACTCTATCAAGTGAGTGACCTGTGTGCTTTCCAGATCCCAACTCCCTCTCCTGTTCTACAACTTGTGTTTACCTCCCTTAGAAGTTTGGAACAGAAGCCTGGAAGGTTTCTGCGGGTTTTCCCCATATTGTAGCTGTTTTGTTATTGCTCTTGGACTGGGCAGACATGTGTTCTGCTAGCATCTGAGGTTCCCTCATACTTCCTATCCTGTTCCTCAGCCCCTTCCCTGGGGCTGACTTGGGTTCCTCTTCTTCTACAGGTACAGTACCCTGTTGGATACTGAGAAAGAGGCTGCCATGAAAACCTGGGAGGAGAGATGGAATAACTTTGTAGCTGATCTGGCCAGGAGGCCAAAGTGAGAAGTCAGCCATTTATTACCCCATTCCTCTGCTTCCTTCCACAGGCTGTCTCCACTTTCTCTCAATTATTCTTGAATCCACTCCAGTATATTCTCTATTTATTTATAAAAACCAATCTTGTGAAAGTATCAATGGACTCTATATTGTTTAATGTCTCAGAAATACTTGATCAGTTGACTGAAAATGTGTTTGAAATACCTTTCTCTCAACCTTAGGGACATCATCTTTCTTGGTTTTCTCCTTTTTCTCTGGCCATTGCATCTGTGTCCCTTTTCCAGATGCTCCTTCTCTATTTGACCTCTCTGCTGGATTTTCTCAGTACTTACTCCTTCCTCTATTCTGTTCTTGTCTCTTTGCTTCCTTTCTCTTCTTTTCTCTTCTCTTCTCACTTAATAATCTTTTACTAGGTAGTCTTTTTCATTCTTTTGCTTTTAAATACCACTTATTTGCTGATGACTCCTAAATTTATTTATTCATTTGGATGGCTCACAGAAATCTCAGAATCCTACTATGTACAATTTTGAACTCTCAGTCTCTTCCCTTTCATTCTTTTCCTGGTTTTCCCCATCCTGGGAAATGACATCTCCATCCATTGCACCTGGCTGCTCAAAGCAGAAATTTTCAGTGAAGTTCTCAATACTGCTCTCTCCTCTGCTCCCCGCACAAAATGTATCTTGACTCATCCATGCCTCCTACCTGCCACCTCTTGCCTGACTTACAATAGCCTTCTGATTGATTGCCCCTTTCTTCTCTTTGCCTTTTCCAATTCATTTTTCACAGAGCAATGATTTTTAAAAAATTAAATTAATTCAGGTTATTCCATTGCTTATAACTCAGTGTACTTAGAAAACTCCAAATGTCTCAACAGGGCATAGAGCATCCTGTTTAATCTGAATCCCTTCCAGCATCATCCTTCCCATGTCACCCATAGTACATTAGGCTCTGGCCACACTGGTCCTTTGGTTCCTCAAATATCCCAAGCTCTATCCTGCATCAGGGTCTTTTCTCATTCTGTCTGCCTGGAATGTTCTTTCTTTCCACTTTTGTCTAACTAATTCCTTTTCACCCTTCAGGTTTCAGGTTTTATGTCACTATCTCAGAAATGTTTCCCAGACACCCTAACCTGCTATTTTCAAGCAAGGAAATCTTGCTTGTTTCCTTCATGACTCTTACTACAATTTGTAATTTTATGTTTATTTCTGTGTTCATAGTCTCCTTCCCACGAGGCTGTAAGCTCCACGTGGGCAGGCACTAATGATTATTTCATATACACTATAAACACAGAGCCCAGCTCCATGCCCCAAACCTAGTCAGTACTCAGTGAAAGCTGTGTCGAATGAATGGACATAATTTGTATGTACTGAGCTGGTTGCTGAGATAGGAGGGAGCAGGGCAGAGTCTCCCCTTCTCCCCAAACAGAAGACCTCATGCGATCAGATTCTGGTTCCTAGCCTGGTCTTTGGGAAAAGGAAGGAAAGAGGCCATTCCCATCCTCATTTGCCTAAAGATGTGAAGGAGAATCAAAGAATTCATTCAAAGTCCCAAGTAAATGTCTTCTCATCTGTTATCCATCACCTGCATCAGAGCTCTCAGGCAGCAGCCAACCCTCTCTCCATTTGTGGTTTATCACTGTTAGTTTATGACACTGGGAAAAGCCTTGCTGACTAGGGGTCCTCAACCACAGGCTGGTACCTAGATGGAACAAGATGACCTCTAAGATCCTGTCTAATTCTGATAGTCTTTGATTCATTGCCTTCACCAATCTTAGTAGATGGTGCATAGGTCCCAACTCAGCTGACTTACATTTAATAAATAGTGAAAATGGAACTTAGCATGGTGGGCTTCTATAGCAAGTTGCCATAGCTAAAGGGTCTCCCAGGAGTGTATTTCTCTGGTCTGGACTCGATGTGATCTGTTTTGGCAAAATAAACCAACTACAGTCTTGCCTTCATGCCTGGCTCAAAGGCTGAGTCCTAACAGAGAACTAGAAACACCAACAGAACCAGTCTCTGAGTTATGAAGATCTGGGAAACAGGTTGCAGCGTCCTCAGACCTGAGTAACAATTTTGCTAGGGGGTGGAGTAGACAAAGCTGATTTCACACATTCCTCCTGTAGGACTATCCTTCTGTTAAAACATCATTTTGAAATTTGAATTCATGTACTCCATATTTATTTATTTATTTCTTAGAATGAGGTTAAATCTTTTTTTATTCTTTGTTAGATAAATTGTCTGAGCTGGAAAAAATCTAAAGGCCAAGGACACGAAGAGTTTCTGACTTGTGAGTCTTGTTGCACAGCAAGTCCCCATAATCTGGCCCATGACGGATCCTGGTCTGGCCTCTTCCTCCTGGGTCTTGGAGCTTTTGCTTCAGTCAGTACAGCTTCCGGGGAAAGGCGGGGGCCTTTGGGAAATTCAGACTAGGGGATTGTTGTTGCAGATGCGAATCATCTTCTTTCTCAGATTAGATGTTGGGATCCAACCTCAGGGAAAACCATGGAACATTTGTCTTATTATCTTAAAATAATGTGAAACCATCAGAGAAGTTGCAAGAATAGTACAAAGAACTCCAATACACTCTTTGCCCAGGTTTCTGAACTGATAACTTTTTATGTTTGCTGTATTATTCTCTCTTTCTTTTTCTGTATCTATATATCTCATTTTTTCTAACCAATGAGACTTAAGATTCAGACATTATGCCCTATTACTTCTAAACACTCCACTGTGCATGTCCTAAACACAGTGTTGTTTTCCTGTTTAACCATAGTACAACCATCCAAATCAGAAAATTAGCATTGATAAGATACTACTATCTGGTCTTGGCCCTTCAAAGCTTTTATTTTATTTTTTTTAAATTAAAAATTATTGGAGTGACGTGGATCAACAAAATCCAAAAGTTTCAAGTGTCCACTTCAACAGTATGTCACATATGTATTGCATTGTTTCACCACCCATAGTTAGATTTCCTTCCATCATCAAGCATTTTTACCCCTATCTACCTTCCCCCTCCCCGCTTCCCTCTGGTAATCACTAATCCATTGTCCATGTCCATTAGTCTGTTTGTTATGTTTGTTGCTTTTAGATTTATATCCCACATATGGGTGATATCATGTAGTTTTCAAGTTTTTCTGTCTGACTTATTTCACTTAGCATGATTCAAAGCTTTTTCCTTTTCTGGTCCAGAACCCAATCCAGGATCACATGTTACATTTAGTTATCATCTCTCTCTTATTGTCTCTTTCAGTCTGGAACAAACCAGTGGTAGTCTGAAATTGGTAATTATGGGATTTTTTTTACACCACAAAAATCAGCAAATGTTACAGATCAGTGCTCAGTGCATGTCCCCCCTGAGCCAGCTGTTAAAGATCTACCAGCGTACCAATGCCTATGATGTCAATTTGTCCCATTACGATGATGTTAACTTTGATCACTTTGTTAAGGTAATGTCTGCCAGGATTTGCACTGTGCGGGTTTTTGCTTTGTGATGAATAGCTATATTTAGTGGGGAAACGCTTTAATTCTTTGTAAACATCTTATTCCTCATCAAACCTTACCCATTGATTTTTGCATTCATTGAGAACTATTGTCTGAATCTACCAGACAATCTGGTTGCTGTCCCAGTTATCTATCGTGTGTAACAAATTCTCCCAAAATACAGTGGCTTAAAACAATAATAAAAAGGTATTATTTCTCACAGTTTCTTTGGTTCGGGGATTTGAGAAGGGCCCAGCTGAGCAGTTCGGTTTGGGGTCTCTCACGAGGTTGCAGTTAAAATGGTAGTGGAAGCAGCTGGGGTTGGCCAGGAGTCTCCTCATCTCTGCACAGTCTTGGGACTTAGCCATGTAGTTTCCGCGTCAGCTAGTGTGGGCTTCCTCACAGTATGGTGGCCGAAGTCGTCAAGAGTAAGTGTTCAGAGAATATAGCAGAAGCTCTGTTGGCTTTTCTGATTTAAACTTGGAAGTCACGTCACTTCTGTCATATCTCTCTAGTCTAAACCCTCCTAGTTTCAAGAGGAGGTGACAGAGACCCCATCTTTTGATGGAAGACTGTCAGTTACATTGTAAGAAGGACATGTAGGATTAGAGATATTGCTAGAAATATTTTGGAAAATGCAATCACCAAATGATGATTTTCTAGTTTTACTATTTCTGCCATAGTTTTTAATTTTAATTTTTAAATAATAAATAATACTGTAATTTTATGTTATTAAGTGAAATAGCTACATTTCAAAAACAATTTGTGTAAGATAATACTTTTATTTATTTAAAAACATGTATATCTATTGGGAAAAACTCTGGAGAATATAGAGGTGCAAATGCATCTCTTAAGAGATGCAACTTGCAACCAAATATTTAAACTTTATTTATCTTTACCTTTTATTGGCTAACATATAAATTTCAGGTGTACAACATTATAATTTGACATCTGTGTACTCTATTGTGTGCTCCCCACCAAAAGTCTAGTTTCCTCTGTCACCATATATTTGACTCTCTTTACCCAGTTCACCCTCCCCGCACCCCACTTCCCCCCTGGTAACCACCATTTTGTTATCTGTATCTATGAGTTTGTTTTATTAGTTTGTTACTTTTTTGTTTTATATTCCACATATGAGTGAAATCATATGTTTCTTCTCGTTTTCCATCTGACTTATTTTACTTAGCATATTACCTCAATATCCACCCATGTTGTCACAAATGACAATATTTCTTTTTAATGGCTGAGTAGTATTCTATTGTATATATGTATCACATCTTTTTTATTCATCTGTCCATGGATGAATAGGTTGTCCATGGATGAATAGGTTGTTTCCATATCTTTCTGTCATATTTATTAATGGCCATTCTACTGTAAAAAAGAACTTTCTCTTTTTTATTTATCAGTATGGCTCATGGATTTTGATTCTAGTCAATGGACTATAATCTATTACTATCATTATTTATTTAGATACTCACTGTTCCAGCTTTGGCCATGGGAATCTGTTATGTTGGCTCCTGCGACTCTGATAAATTCTTATATTTTCAGTGCTTCCTTACTTCCTGACACAA